TGTGCATGGTGGCTCTGCTGAACCGAACGGGTAGCCATGAACGGGCGTCTTCTGCAACCGAACCAGCCGAACGGGAGACCTAACCGAACCGGTCGGAACGGGCCGAACTGGAGCCCTAACCTAACTTTCGCATGGTGGCACTGAACCGAACTGGTACGCCATGAACCGGCGGCTTCTGAAATCGACCCAGCCGAACTGGAGCCACAACCGAACTGGTCGGAACCAGACCAGTCATTCGAGTCGAGCTTATTAGTCGAAACCGGCCCAAACGGTCGATTCGAACCTGTTGGAACCGAACCAGCCGCTCCAAGACCCCCCCAGTGCCACCCACCAGGACGCCCCTGGACCCCCCAGGGCCCCCCAGGACCCCGCAGGACCCCGCAGGACATCCCAGGACCCGCCAGGAACACCCAGGACACCCCAGGACACCCCAGGACACCCCACGACCCCGTAGGCCCCCCCAGTCAACCGCAGACCCCCCAGGAACTCGCAGGACCCCGCAGGACCCCCAGGACCACCCAGGACCCCGCGGGACCCTCCTCCTCCTCCTCCTCCTCCTCCTCCTCCTCCTCCTCCTCCTCCTCCTCCTCATCCGCCTCCTCCTCCTCCTCGTGATGCTCCCTCCTCCTCCTCCTCCGCGTCGTCGGGTCGAGTCGAGCGGGCGCGCGCAGCGGGGTCCAGTGGGGTCCGGTGTGGCTTTATGTAGGGCCCGGAAGGGGCCCAAATGGTTTCGGGGGCGCCCGAACCGAACCGGCCGAACCAACCAGCCCGAACGACCATACCGAAACCGAACCCGCCCGAACCAGCTCGTCGCCGAAACCGAACTGGCGCAACCGAACTGACCCGCCGCGGAATCCAGCACGAACCGACCCGAACTGGACCCTGCCCTGCTTTGGGGGCCATCTTCTCGATCGCCCCAAAGGTTTTTGGGCGATCGAGATGATGGCCACTCTGATGCCCCCTCGGTCCAAGGAATGCGCTTCCACTCCTCCGCCTCGCCCTCCTCCTCCTCCTCCTCCTCCTCCTCCTCCTCCTCTCCTCCTCCGCCTCCTCATCCTCATCCTCATCCCATCCTCATTCCTCATCCTCATCCTCCGCCCCTTCCTCCTCCAACTCTCCTCCTCCCCTCCTCCCCTCCCCTCCTCCTCCTCCTCCTCCTCCTCCTCCTCCTCCTCGTTCCTGCTCCTCCTGCTCCCTCCTGCTCCTCCTCCTCCTCCTCCTCCTCCTCCTCGCTCCTCCTCCTCCTCCTCCTCCTCCTCCTCCTCCTCCTCTTGCTCCCCTTCCTTTCCGTCTTGCTCTCCTCCTCCTCCTCCCTCCACCTCCTCCTCCTCCTCCTCCCTCCTCCTCCTCCTCCCTCCGCCTCCCTCCTCCTCCTCCTCCTCCTCCTCCCTCCTCCTCCGTCCCCGTCCTCTCCATTCCACCCCGCCTCTCATCCTCCTCCTCCTCCTACCTCCTCCTCCTCCTCCCCTCCCCTCCTACCTCCTACTCCTACTCCGATTCCTACTCTAACTCTACTTCCTACCCGACTCCTACTCCTTCTCCTACGCCTACTCATCCCCTCCTTCTCCTCCTCCTCCTCCTCCTCCTCCTCCTCCTCCTACTCCCCTCTCTGCTCCTCCTCCTCCTCCTCCTCCTCCCCTCCTTCCTCCTCCTCCTCCCATCATCATCATCATCATCATCATCATCATCATAATCATCATCACATCCATCATCATCATCATCCATCATCATCATCATCATCATCAATCAACCATCTTCATCAGCATCATCATCATCAATCATCATCATCATCACAGCATCATCATCATCATCATCATCATCATCATCATCATCAGCATCATCATCATCATCATCATCATCCTCATCACTCGAGCAGCAGCAATCATCATAATCATCAGCATCACAGCAGCCTCGCTCGAGACATAGCAACACATCATCACGATTCATCATCATCACATCATCCTCATCACCATCACCATCATCTTCATCATCATCATCAGCAGCATCAGCATCAGCATCAGCATCATCATCATCATCATCAACATCATCAGCATCATCATCATCATCATCATCATCACCACCATCATATCATCATCAGCAGCAGCATCATCGTCATCAGCAGCGGCATCAGCAGCATCATCATCATCATCATCATCATCATCATCATCATCATCATCATCATCATCATCATCATCATCATCATCATCATCATCATCCTTCTCATCCTCCTCATCCTCCTCCTCCTCCTCACCACCACCATCATCCCATCAAACACATCATCATCAGCATCATCATCAGCAGCATCATCAGCATCATCATGATCGAGGTCGTCGTCCTCGTCATCATCATCATCATCATCATCATCATCATCATCATCATCATCATCGTTAATATCATCATCACCATCATCAGCAGCATCATCATATCAGCATCATCATCGTCAGTACCATCGACATCATCATCATCAACATCATCATCATCATCATCATCATCAGCATAACCATGATCATACTCATCATCGTCAACAGCAGCATCATCAACAGCATCATCAGCAGCAGCATCATCAGCATCAGCACAACCATTTGCATCATCAACATCAGCATCATCAGCAGCATCATCATCAGCATCCATCATCATCATCATCATCGTCGCCAGCATGTCATCCTCATGGTCACCATCACCATCATCAGCAGCAGCATTAGCATCATCATGAGCAGCAGCAGCAGCCATCATCATCATCAGCAACATGATCAGCATCATCAGCAGCATCATAATCATTTTCAGCATCAGCAGCATCATCATCAGTATCAGCATCATTGTCATCGTCATCAGCATCATCAGCAGCATCATCATCATCATGATCATCAGCAGCAGCATCAGCATCATCATCATCGTCAGCAGCATCATTACCATCACCATCATCAGCATCAGCATCATCATCATAACCATCATCGCCATCATCATCACCATCATCGTCGTCATCATCAGCAGCAGCATCAGCAGCAGCATCATCAGCATCAGCATCATCACAATTATCATCGGCATCAGCATCATCAGCAGCAGCAGCATCAGCATCATCATCAACAGCAGCAGCAGCATCAGCATCATCATCATCAGCATCATCATCATCGTCATCATCATCAGCAGCATCATCATCATCCGTCGTGTCCGCCTCCTTCTCCTCCTGGACACGTTACCACGCTGAGAGAGGCGGAGGAAAAAGAGGAGGTGGAGGAGGATGAGGAGGAGCAGGAACACGACGAGGGTTTCCTTGCATCGAGTCTGCGTGCGGATCGTCCACCCCAGTACTCGCAGGCCGATATACCTTCAGCCTACCAGCAGAAGCCTCGAGCTCCTGGGCCCGAACACGCGACCGCTGAACTCCCAGCTCGAGCCGTCACGGATACGGCATGCCTGCTACGCTGCCGGCTGAAAGGGGGAGGAAGAAGCGAGGAAGGAGCCCCAGCGCGAAGGGAAGAGGAGGAGGAGGAAGAGGAGGAGGAGGATCCGGAGAAGGAGGAGGGGGAGGAGGAGGAGGGGAAGGAGAGGGGGAGGAAAGGATGAGGAGCAAGGAGGAAGGAAGAGGCCAGCCGCTCGGCGCACCGCTTGCAGCGCCCAGATCCCTCGAGGGCCACCGGGAACGCGCCGGGCAGCTGACGTCAGACCACACGGGGTGCACATTCCAATGGAGGCGGGAGGAAGGAGTGAAATAAGGAATGGTCCGCGGACCCGTGAGGGGGCTACGCTGGGCTCCAGGCGGCGCCACGGGAGCGGGGTGGGCCGAAGACGACTACACGCCGCAGATCTACATGTATATGTAGAGACACATTTAGAGAGTGTGAGAGGGAGAGAGAGAGAGCGAGAGGGAGAGCGTGAGAGAGAGGCAGGAGAGCTCAGAATCGAATCGATAAGTCGGATCGGCGATCGAAATGAGCCATGGAGAGGCGTATGTCAAAGTACGGGTAGCTTTAGCTTGAGGGCTGTCGATGAATGGAATGCTCCTGGATCACCAGCGTCGTAACCGTTCTTGCCAGCACCGACGCTACACAAAGAGCCATTGATTGAGATGTTTCCCGAATGATCTGCAGATGGGACAGAGAGAGCGAGACTCACAAAGGGGTATGGCGGGGAGAGAAAGGGAGAAAGGAAGACAAAGAAGCTCAGAGGGAAAGGGAGAGGAGGAGAGGGCAAGCTAGGTGCACTCGCGCCATGTCTAACAACCTGCCCCCCCCACCCATCCCTTCCCACTGCGCTTTTGCTCTCTATGCGCCGACGCGTGTCATAGGGGACCTGAAACTCCACAGAGGACCCCGATCGTATTTTGCACAATCGTAGAAAGCATAGAGCTGCGGCACGTTGGAGGTGGCGAATGAGCAGGAGGAAAAGGAGGAGGATGGAGGAAGACGAGGACGAACAGCAGCAGCAGCAGGAGCTAGAGTAGAGGGAGCGGGAGGAGCAGCAGGACCAGGAGACGGCGGAGGGGAAATGGGGCGGGCTACAAAGATGAAAAAGGATCTGGATGCACATTGCCGGGGCGAGAGCGCCATCCTGAACGACGGGAGCATAGCGCCGAGCCGAAAATGGGGCCCACGCTGCAGCGGGAGCACCATGGTGAAACACCGAAGACAATCCCATTGCAAACAGCGCTTACAACACACACACACACACACAGAACTTTTGAAATCCAGACGCGGAGAGGACCGAATATCTCCCAGACAAAGTAAGGAGAGAGAGAGAGGAGAGTGGTACTCGTACAGTGTAGTTTGTAGAAGGAGAGGGACTGGGAGAGCGAGAGAGAGAGAGAGAAGTAAGGAAAGAGATAAAGAACGAGAGAGCGAGAGAGAGAGGGAAAACAAACAAAAATAGAGATAAGCAGGCAGACAGGCAGACAGGCAGGCAGACACAGACAGAGACGCAGACAGAGACAGAAACAGAGACAGACACAGACAGCCAGACAGAGGCGGAGGCGGGGGCGAAACAGGGAAGGTGACGACGCCGACCTGGACCCCTTCTTCGTGCCACACTCTGTGGCCTTCGTCGCATCGCACCTCGGGCCACAAAAAAACAGCGGCGCCGCAGACCAACTCCAACGCTCATGATCCTTCCCCCCTCCGCCAGAATACTCCTGCACATTCCCCCTTCCCTCCTGTCCACTTCCTCCTCCTGCCCCCCTGCTCATGCTCCTGCTCCTCCTGCTCCTCCTCCTGCTCCTCCTCCTCCTCCTCCGCCGCCCTCCTCCTCCTCCTCCTCCTCCTCCCCCTCCTCCTCCTCCTCCTCCTCCTCTCCTCCTCCTCCTCCTCCTCCCCCTCCTTCCTCCTTCTCCTCCTCGTCATCCTCGCCACAAACAGAAGAAAAAAAAAAGAGAGCAAAGAACACAAAAAACCTCGTCCTGATCGTTTCTCCTATCTCCTCCCGCTGCCCATCCCCCACTCGCCTGCACATCTATCTGTCTGTCACGAGGAAGTGCCAATCGCTGACTCCGCGCCCTTCTGGATGCTTGGCTTCATGGTGGTGCCCATCCCCGGTACACACCCCTTCCCCACCTCCTCCGGCAATGGCGGAGGTGGGCGAACCCTCGAGACGAGACCCGCACGCCCGGCGAGGCACACCTGCAGGGCCCGGCTCTCCCTACGGCTCCCCCTGCTCGCGCCCCGCTGCGCCCCGCAGGCGCGCACAGCCTGTCCCTGCAGGGGGCAGCGGTTCAAGAGCGGAAGAGCTCTCGACCCCTCGACCTTCGATCCTCGACCTCCGATCCTCGACCCTCGACCCTGGGACCTCGAAAAGCCTCCGATTGAGCTCGACCCCC